AGTCTAGAAAAAAACTAAATGTTGTTTTTGTCAATATCGAATTCTCCATACGGTTATACAGTATCTGATTGATATGCTCAAGAAAGGCTCAATTCATTTAATGTTATGCTTGTCAACAATGGTATCATTGTTAACGTGTTATGTATTATTAATGGTATAATAATTTAGTTGTTATAAATAGAGTTTTGTGCTGTTTAATCTTATCTTAGATTTGTTTGGCTCGAAGAAGCGTTGTCACTTTTGTTGTTATCTTAATTTAACTTCAGGAATCAGCTCTATTAAATTATGTTGCCATGTTATTATCGAGGTCTTTTAGTTTTCTTTCTTTTTTTCTCGGTGATACGGTTACTTACATTCATTTTTAAAAGCTACAAACTTCTTAATATACAGGGTGTTCCGTAAGCAAAGGGGAAATAGTTAAAGAGATGAAGGTATACCTCAAGAATTACGAAATAGTTCATGAAAGCTATGGTCCTATTTTTGCCTTTGAGTTGACAGAATGATTAACTCAAATTTTAACATTTTTGAGTAAAGTCATTTCACTGATATTTCTAGTCGGAAAATTTATAATATCTGTACAGGCAGTGAGTAAGTTGGTTCTAGAGTATGTTATTGCAGTCTTGAAATATAGAACTGTGAATAAAGATATAAATTTGCCCACTGGAAATATCACTAAAATTAATAATCAAAAATGTTGAAGTTAGTCATTCTGTCATTTGAAAGGCCTATTTAATAAAGATCAATGTAAAAATATTGACACTTAGATGATAAATCTTTGAAAAATCAACATTTTTTAACAATTTATGTTTATAAATGCGTTTTTATAACAAAGTTATTACAATGATTTCTAGTTTATAGAAAATAAAATAACTTATTGTAGTTATTATTGCTGAAAACACAGGTACTTTTGGGTGATAGAATATCAAATCACATGATTTCTCTTCACTACTACAGATGGATCCTCAACTTATTCTATTACAAACTTCAACTAAATTAATATAGACTTAAATCTTATTAAGCAAGGAAGTTTTTCTTAGAAGTGGAGTATCTGTAATCGAGTTGGAGAGTGGTAAAAAAATTACTAATAATCTTTGATTTTATGAAAAACAGATCTAAGTATAGGTTAGCCGCTTAAATGTCCACATTAAATGTTTTTAACAAAGACAAACTTTACTTTCATTTGAAGAAAATGTTGTCTAGTTTTTCTATGCAGTAGTCATTTATTGACTAAATTAAACATTATCTTGCTTATCACTTCCTATTCAACGAACATCGTGACAAATATGAAAGAAATGGGTTATTCTTAATTTTTTTTAATCACCCATAACTGGACTACAGATACCCCCCTTTTAGAAAGACGTCCTTGTTTAATAAGATTTAAGTCCATATTAATTAAGTTGAAGTTCGTATCAAAATAAGTCAATATCAATCTATAGTTGTGTAAAAAAATTATGTGATTTGATATCCTGTCTCTCAGCCCTAAATCAAAGTCTGATTTATTTTTTTTATTATTACCTGAGATTTATTGTAATCAATTTATTATAAAAACACATTTTTTATTTATTAAACAAAATTAAAAAAAAATTGCCTTGTCAAACATTTATCATCTAATGTGGTAATGCAACAGAGCTTTATTGACAGATCTCTAATAAATTGGACCATGTTTTATATGATTTTTTTTAGAGATCTACTATCACCTTTTAAAATAATATATACATATATGTATATTTAATCGAAAATGATAATTTATTTGAAATCAAGGGGCAGTAACATGTTTAAGCGGTTTTTTTTTTTTTGTTACTATCTTAAATAATTAATTCGCCAAATTTTCTATTTTTCCTTATATATAGACATATTAAAAAAAAAAATTATTTATTGAATATTCCCACTTTCATTCGCTTGAACATTGGTTATACTGTGGTAAGATCACACGTTCACACTATCTGTACAAAAAAGATAAAACAAACAGAAGCAAAATAACGAATAAATAACAATCAAAAAGTATGGGAAAAGCAGGACTCCAGGAGATTCCTGCGCTACTTTCTCAACTGCACCACTGGTACTACTAAAGCCAGCGGAAATTGATCTAGAGCGCTTAAGCTACATACGCTCTTTTCTTGAGTTGAAAATCTCACCATTGCCAGACCCCAATAGAAATTACAAAATTTCGAGTGGCCACTGCCGTTTTAACCTTCTTGGGAAGATTTTAGGGATTGTGCAAGAGGATTTGGATGATACTTAAGGTAAGGTTTTGGTGAAATTTGGAGAATTTTTCTGTGATAAGGTCAAGGACAAATGAGATGTTGAGTTGGTTACATAGAAAGGAACTTTAATATTAGGAAATTACTTCAGGAAACTAATGAGGCTTTGTTAACTATTTGGCAATTTTCAACTCTTCAGCACTCATAATCCTTAATTTCTCCACAAGGGATGACACTATGTGATATCAGGAACTCACTTCAGGAAATAAATGAGGCTTAGTTAAAAAACTTATCCACCGCAAATACATAAAACACCTTTATTCCTCTACAGAAACATCAGACTATCGGGAACAAAGGACTACTACTCGCTGTCTGTGTAACCTCACCCAAGCTAACCTGCCTTTGTTTACATCTACAGTGCTGCCTGATAACATGCATTAACTCGACAGGCGCATTGACTATTACTGGAAGGATTGGATGCGTTTGATGTTAGAAAAATCTAAAAATATTGTACAATTTTTTGAAGTGCATTTTAAACGGAGCTAAAGCTTAAAGCTTACAGATAACAAGTCATTAAGACTATTATAATTACAAAATGTCTATTTAATATATCGACGACAGACAATAGAAATCTAGTCACTCCATCTGCTTTTATAAACCAAACAAATTTCTTTGCTTTTATAAGCAACAGAATGACTTACTCCAATTTTAACATTTTTGAGTGATGTCATTTTAGTGATATTTTTAGTTGAAAAAGTTATCTATGCAGACAATGAGTAAGTTGATTGCGAAGGTGGTAATTGCAGTGTTGAAATATAGAACTGAGAATAAAGGTATACATTTAGGTACTTATTTCTTATGAAAGATACTTTATTAAATATCTGTAGAAAAAAGTTTTTTTTTTAGTCTCAACAATTAAAAAAGTATATTTTAAATTTATCCAAATTTTCGCCTCTTCGGGGAAAAAAACTAGAGACCATGTCTTTCTTCCTAATTGTCCGATCTCAACGATTTTTTTTTGTTTTTTAGAAAATTCCATAAACTTTTTAAAAACCATCGACAAAAAAGTGTATGCTTTTTGAGTTATTCGGAATTTAATTTTACCATCCCTCGTAACTTTTTTTCGTTGAAGTATGTTATATAGATAAATTTAAAGGGTGTCGGGAAAATGACTTTAGCGAAGTTACATTGAAATCGGTACATTCGTTTAGGCGCTTTTCTGCATTTTTATTTTTTTTTTCTCCTTTATTAACTTATCAAATTCTTTCAAAAGTTATATTTAGTATTTTTCGTAACTTTAAATAATGTGAAATGATTAACTTTTTAAAATAAACCACATGAATGGTACTTTAGAGGAAGACGTATATGAACATTGGGTATTTAAGCCCTGTAAAGTGACATCAATGGGGATAAGACCTAATCGATATTAAAAACCACTTAATTATACAATGATACACCGAGTTTAATCAAAGACCACTCAATTATACAATGATACACCGAGTTTATTCAAAATCGTGTTAGAGCCGTTTTTGAGAAAATTGTGAAAATGTGTTTCAGCATTGATATAAAGTGGCACTTCCGGTTAACCGATTTGAAGGATAAAGTTGCCGTCACATTTAAGGCATATACCTATCTTAAATACGTAATATCAGTTTCGTAGGACTTTTCGTTTTTGAGCTAGACTGCTAACATACAAACACCCAGACCTTCTTTCGGGTCATTTCGACTCAGGGTACCCCAAAACGTGTATTTCCGTTGAAAACTCAGATTCAAAAATTTTCTCGATCGCAATACTTACCCTTACTATTTATTACATATATACGTAAGTGAAAGTAAAAATTAGCTATCCCCCACAATTCTAGTCCGTAAGTCCAAATAGGTTTCAGCATTGTCTTGAAGATCGGTAATTTGTTTTCAATAGAAAGTTTAGATTTAGTATTTAGTAGTCTGTATAGTTGGCCATATCGTCGGTTAAGTTAAAAAAAATTATTGTTCATGTGATTATAGTTTTTTTTTTCAAGGACTTAAACAGTATTTCATTTTTTTTTTTTTTTTCTGTTAGCATTACAGACCTTGTAGATCTTTTGCCGGCTTAGCAAGCCTATTCTATCTCTGCCTATTTTGGGATATTTCAGTTTTTTTTTCCATTTTATATCTGTAGTTTTTTTTATTTTTCTCTATTTAGCATTATTAACAAAAACAAATTAAATCCTTAATCCGCTATTGTTTGATGGTGTTAGTTCTTTGACTAAATCTCTTGTATAAACACACTGTAAATAGTAAGCATTACTGTTAGTTTAAAATTTTTGAAGATACGTGTTAGGCTGTCATTAGCAGCCCGGCAGCCGCGGCCCGTCCTTGCCTACAAGGTTTTATTTTTTAACTTATAAATTTTTATTAAAATGGAAAAATTAGAACATTATTTATGTTGTTTAATAATTATGTCTGGAGCTATTGGTTTCTCTCAACGGAAAGCGGAAAAGAAGAGTGATGAAAGATCTCCTTGAGTGATGACATATAATTATAACCAAGATTATCCAACATATTCGTTGTCGACTCTTTGTAATGAAGGCGGATTTACTAGTATTAATAAAGAAGAAATAAATACGATAGATCTCAAGGACAACGGGTTCTCAGATTATGGAGGCTTCTGTTTCGTAACTACGTTTATATATTAATTATTAAAAAATTATAAATAAATGATGACCAGGAATACTATTTGGAAGTGTATAGTGTGAATGAGGTTGGTGGTCGGAGGTAGGCGGCAAGTGGCGAGGATAGCCGATGTCTTAACCTTGGCAAGGCTGCAGTCATTTGTGTACCAATAGTCGTTCTGTTTTATTTATTCGTCGCAGTCTGCAGCTCTCCCAGTTGACTTGTTTATTTGGAATACGCTTTTGATACAGTATCAGTAAGTCTTGTTTATGAGTTTCTGTTTTAATTTTGTTTCCTAGTTGTAAATATTTCGTACCCACTAAAAACATATTTTGATATTATGGTCTATAATTGTTCAAATTTTGTCATTATGAAGTTTTATATACATATAATACATAGTTATTTTTTTATTTTTTTATTTCTGGATAGGGGAAAAATCTTTCATAAGACGAAGTGCAACCAACAAATAGTGCGAGATTCCTACTCGCTATAAAACCACCTCACGGAACTGCTGTCAAGCATTACTTCGCGAGGGTAGAAAAGCTATATGCTTACGTCCTTTTTGGATATCATATTATAGCTAAGTCATTGCCATACACAGTGGGGTCCTTAAAGAAATGTAGGGGGCGTTAATCCCCGGGGTCCACGTTTAACCAAGAGCTCCACCGGAAGGTAATTTTTTTGGGGGGAGGGGATCAAAATTTAATTCGGCTCGGACTCCAAAGGACAATACATATCGCCCTTTTATTTATAACTTTAAATCACTAAGAATTTTGATGAATTTTTCTTCTGTTAAATCGTGCGTTTATTGTCATTGTATTTGATGTATTTTATTGTATGGGTGTGTGTTATTTTAGTGCAATTGCTGTGTTTTTCTATGGATAAATAAGCTCGAAATAACCAAAAAGATTCATAAAAGTCCAGCTTCACTAAAATGTACTTCGTGCCTTTTTGCAATAAACCGATGATGCATTTCATAGATAATTCATTGCAAAAAATATAAATTAGAAAAAAAAATATTTGAGAAGTTGGTGGTTCCAGGCAGTAAAAAACTTGTAAACAAATTTTTTTATGAACATTTTTTTAAAAAATTTTTATTTCTTTTTCACTTCGAATGTAATCCTCAACTTTGCAATTATATTATCTACACTCAACTATTTTTCCACTATGAGAAAAAAATTAAATCAATCATTTGAATATATTTTTTATTTAGTGAAATTTTCTCTGCGTATTTAGTCAATTAATCGTATTAATACACCTTAACTAAAGAATAACAATTTAGTTATGAGTCTAAGGTAGAACATAGATTTGTAATTCTTTGTTTACTTGATTTGTTATCGGGAGTGCCTGATGTATATTTGTTTAGCTGTCTAATTATTCAATTGATCGTAGGAAAACAATAAACACGGTGATATAAATAGATAAAAATGATGAAACAGTACTTTTAATTATACATAAAAGCTTTTTTTCCCAATACCTTTGAAAATAACTCACAAAACAAAATAAAATTTATAAAAAATCATTTCGTCTCGGTCCTCACATGATCAGAATACGCCAATAACTATACATATACAGGAATATCTTTATGGGAAAGAGGGCCAATAATTTGAAAACCTCAAAAGATGGGCAATTTGATATTTGAAAACCCCAAAAGTTGGATAACTTGATATTTGAAAACGTACCGCAATTTGCGAAAATTATGGTAAAAATTTTATTCAAAGAGTTTTATCAATAGAAAGTGTGTTTGAACAGAAATAAAAATTAATTCTCATGTGTCAACATCCGCACAGGTAAATGAAAAGTTCAAATCCAAATAGTTTAAAACACAAGTAAATATTAAAATATTCCTTTATTAAATATATCGTATTTTTTTTATCTAGGAAATTGCTTTCTAGATGTTAAAATTGGTAGGATGTTTTACATTTTATCTTTCCTCATCCCTGTGAGAAAAAACCCAAATTTATTAATTTTAATTTTGAATAAATATTTTTATATTGAACGATTTTTATATATTGAAGACAATTTTTTATACATTTATGATAAGTCAAATTTAGCTTGTTCTCTGACAAAGTTCACATTTCTATCAACTATAACATTACTATATTTTTTTACGGTTATATTACTAGTTATTATTAACGATAGATTGCTATGGTATTAACCATTATTAACGATTGTATTTTTCAAAATAGTACCCATCCGTCAGCGTTTTTATTTATGCCTGACATTAATTTTCAATGCAATAGTTTCTGTCTTTAATGTTATCTGAATTATTTTTTTGTAAAAATAATTACTAAATATATTGTTGTCGCTTTGAATACATTCTTATTAGGATGCTGTCTTGTTTTTGTGGTATTTTAACTAAAATTAATAACTAATCAGTAAAACCAATTTTTATTTTATTGCTGAGCAAATTTTAAAATAGCTTTTACTTCAATTAAAAAAATTAATAGAGATGTGCTTGTGTTGTAATATTTTAAATTTTAGGCTGTTTATAGCCATATATGTATTTATTGTTTGAATATAATATTTAATTTATTTTACTTATCATCAGATAATGCAGCAATGATACAGTTAATAAAGTGTGTAGTAGTTCTGTTTTAAAACGTTAAGCTGGAGTCGTAATGTGGGAATATTTGTTTTTCATATTCTTATCTCACTGTTTAAACATTGTGCCTGCTTCTATAGATTGTGGCAATTTGAATTAAAATTCATACAATTAGTGTCTGAATCATTAAGAACGACCTTGCAAGCTTTCGGGCTATAACAAAATACACCCGTTATACTGAAAAACAGTTTTAATTATCCACTAATTTATATTTTAGTTAAAATCTTAAATAATGAAAATTACGCGTGATTGGGTTTAGCCTATACATGTATCTGAAATAAATACGTACAAAAAACCTAGAGCTTCATAAGGCATATCTAATAATAATAATAATAATAATAATAAGGCTTAGCGAACCCGAAGGTTCGATGCCGACACCACCAATCGCTTGTTACACACCTCCCTCCACCGTTCGCCGTCCAAACCCAGTCCCTTCAGATCGGCTTTAATGCAATCTTCCCACCTTCGCTTCGGTCTACCCCTCCGACGCTTACCATTCGGCACAGCAAATATTAACCTTTTAGGAATTCTCTCGTTACTAAGACCAACAACTTTACAAGCCCATTTGATTCGCCGCGATGAAATTACCTCAATTATATTACCCGGATATAGCTCACGCAATTCGGCGTTGTGTAACCGTCTGAACTCTCCGGTTAACTCATCCTTCTTCGGTCCGAATATTCATAAGGCATATCTAATGTAAATAATGTCATAATGTATTCCTGATGTAAATTTTTTAATGTGTTTTCAATAAGATTAATTAATGTTTGACCAGCAACTTTTCCCTCTGACCTTAAAAAAACATTGAGCCGCTATTCTGTTTTTAAAAACCTAATCACCATGTTATTTGTTTTCATTCTTACCTATATTTAGGTATGTAAAATAACTGTTCGTGGATAGTATGTTAGTGTCGATATTCAGTGCTTTGTTCGTATGGCTTAAACCCAGCACCTAACCTGGTACAGTGGTTCATTGCCCAACTCATTTAATTATGTCATTTAAATATTACTAACAAGGATAAATATGTAATGGTTCTTGCCAGTGGCTTCCAGGAATAGAGAAAAAAAAATTATAAAATTTTTATAAAACTATAATGTTTTTATATTGTTATTTTCTGCGTTTTCTCTGCATGAATCGATTGCACAAACCAAAACGTGGCTTGGCTCTAATAAAGTAGGCCAAGTAAATTATTGTTATGAAAAACTGATTCAGATTCATTTCTAGCCCCCTTAATACTCTTAAATACTTTTTTTTTTTAATAAAAAAAAAATTTCTGAATTGATTTTATTGGAAGATTTTTTTTTTCAAACTGTTTACCAAAGTATTCATAACTACTTTGAAATTTCTCTTAATTCAATGCTACCGTTATAAACCTAAATTATTGAACTTGATAAATACTTGGATTATACCAGACATATCTTACAGCTTTGAAATTCTAAAATGTCCACAACTTCACTCCAGGAATCGGATAGATTAATAAGAACAAGTATGATGGGGTCCACCCGACTGCATCTATGGCAAGTATTTATCTGCCAAGGAAGGAAGGTGGGGGCAGAGGTCTTGCAAATGTTGAAGACGGGTGTTGAAAACAAGAAATTTCATTTTAGAGATTACTTCAAACAAAGTACCTTTTCATAAGATAATGTGCAATATTGACCATGGATACACAGTATTACTGGTAGCTACACAAGAAGCTGCTGCATTCATCATTATCACGAACAATGACTGACTGGAAGAGTGGAAATCGAAAGCATTGCTCGGAAGATTTTTCAGCTCTGATCGGAAGATCTGCTAATTGGCTAGTTAAATTAAATCTGTTTCTCGAGACAGAAGGCTTTCTGACAGCAATCCCTGGATCAGGTTATAGCAACGAGGTCTTGCTTGCGACATGTCCTGAAGCTTCAGACATGTTTAGGCTCTGTGTAATTACATTCGATTCTATTCAGCACATTACCGGAGGGTGTGGTGCTTTGGCTGGAACGGGATATCTCAAGAGATATGACGTGTGGCGAAAACCTATCTTCAGGCGATTGGTTTGAAAACAAAACTATTAAATGACTCGATGCATCATTATAATTATCAAGCTAAAGATCTAATCCAGAAAGAATGAATAAAATTGTACGGGAATCAGCCAAGGAATTTATAACTGACCATATCACAATCCACAACTGACCAAATATCGTGCTGATGGACAGCTGAAATAATAGATATCGCCTCGCCAAACGATGGCAACACTAATTCAGTCCGTGCAGAAAAAAAAAGAAATTAGAAATATCAAACCTTAGCAGCTAAATTAAAAGACAAATACAGGCTGAAAAAAGTAACTGTAAGGACCTTAGTGCTCTCCAACAATGGTTTGATACCAGTATCTACTGTGGAAGCTACTGAGAAGTTTTGCTTCTCAACAGTTATTATAAATGAAACCCATAAAGCTTCCTTAATATACAATAGTTATGTTGGGTTGGCAAATAAGTCCTTTCGGTTTTTCATGGTGAAATAAAACTCAATGTATTATAGCCATAAATTTTATTTTAACCTACTATATATAGACCATTATTGAATACGGCTTTTTCCCATCTTTCCACTAACTGCATAATGCCTATGTTCATAGAATGTCTGGAATTTATTTTTAAAAACTGATCCAAGTAGTT